CCAGCTCCAGTCGCCCTCCCGCGCCCCGCCCGCCTACGCCCACCCTAGGTGTCGCAGATGACCGGATGTTCTCGAATCTTGTGACATACATACCAGCACGCCACCGACTGTCGACTTCTCCACCTACCACGACGGGCGGCCTTTCTTGGAGGCAGCAATTAACTGTCTTCCCCATTTCATCTTCGATTCATTACCACCGTCTTCGGTGATAAACTAATAAAGTGTGACATTTAAAAAAACGTATGACCGTACCAGGTGGCTGATTATTCACGCCTCTCACTTTTGTAGTTATACTGTACCGCATACAAGCGTGCGAGCGGGTTGCCTACTCGCGCGGATCCACTTATGGAGCCGTGGGGATAGGCAAACCCGCCCGCACCCGTGCACGCGGTGCAGTATATATAACTACAAAAGCGCGCGGCGTGAATCCGCCGTACACAGTGATGAGGGCGAGGACAAGCGGGCTCTTCATTACCAAAATGGAGAGAAGCATGTGACTGACATTATGCATTACAATGTATTTGCCTCGCATTTGCCTATGTATACGTATATGCTCTATAGAGCAGAATGTGTCTCACACATATTAAATGTAGGTCCATCGGTAATCGTAGAGCCGTTGAGCACGTCCTGTAATGCGTCATGTACCAGGTGTACAGGCTATAAGACACTGATAAGACATGCACTGAAAACGCAAGTGTGTGAATGTCGCTCACTTGTAGGTGTGTGAATATCCATTCGTACACTTCGGGGGGTAAACGTGTAAGTTTTTTTTCTAGAAAATTCACACGTTTACCCCCCTAAGTGTACGAATGGATATTCACACACATACAAGTGTGCGACATTTACACACTTGCGTTTTCAGTGTGCAAAGTACGTTGGGTTGCCTATGCACTGGCTGCAGGGTGAAGGTGAAGGGTGAAGTGGTGGGGGAGCTGCCACTTCCCCGCCACCTGCCGCGCGCCTGCAGCCCCTGCAGCCAGTGCATAGGCAACCCAACGTACTGGCATGTCTTCCCCTCAGGGTACCTGGTATATCAGTGTTGTCATACTTTACTAAGTGTTAGACTGTCTCACATTTTCGTTATCCGTTTTCTTTTCCAATCCTCTCACATCGTTGTTAACATAACATTCACCGATACCTATAAATGCGTGTTAGCGCGTTGCGGGGCGTTGTTTTACCGACTGCTACCCGTCGACTACTTTCCTTTCTGATCTCCATGATTTTTGTTGTTATAGGAATATCTAAAAAGTGTACAAAAATAAACGTGCCTCCAGAGAGAATCGAACTCTCGACCCCCAGTTTACTAGACTGGTGCTCTAACCACTGAGCTATGGAGGCGAGTTGTGGAGGGAGAATATCGCGTGCCAACAGTATGAGAAAAGGTTGTCCGTATTATTGGATCTGGTGTGGATCGGAAATGGCAGTGGCGGGAAATTTCAAAAACTCTTGCATCTCCTTCTGACGCTTTAACTTGCTTTAAGGTCCGAGAAAGAAAATGGGGTGAAAGTCAATGAGGCACCTTCCCTTGAATAATGAGTAAGCATCCTGTCAAGTAATTGGCGTTAACCCTTTGCGATAGTTTCCAAACACCCATTCGACCCATTCGCAGAAAATTCTTGAACCGAATAACCGAATCGGAAATTTCTCATACTACGGTAGTAGCACACTGTGCAGTGACGTCACGGTGACGCAAGTGTCATGGCGATTGTTTATCTGAGTACTTAAGCTGTTATTCTGTTCGTTTTAAAACGTTTTCAACCTGTGTTTCAACATGAGTGACACCATGTCTAACTGTAGCTCACCTGGCAACAAAGCTTTACAAGTAATGAAAACTGCAGAGGATTTGCAGTTATTCAAAATGCCAGGTGCCCCTCTTTCGGGTAGAGTGAGAAAGAAGCAGAAAGTTTTGGAAGAAGATGTTTACATAGAGGTAAGTTTTTTTCACACACAGTTCCACACCCTTTTTAAAATGCAACTATCATTTTAGCTAATGTGTTATTTCACTTAGCCATTCATTCCCCTTTTCTTTTTAATCTGAAAGTGTTACATAACCTACACAGTGGACTGTAAACATATTTTAATGTAATTCTTTTGATTGTTGCAGCAAATTGGTAATATAATTGAAAGGGACTTTTTTCCTGACCTCGAGAAACTCAGAGCTCAAAATCAATACCTTGAAGCAATGGATCAGAATGATGTCATGAAGATGCGAGAATTGTATGCCAAGTATAGCTCAGGGGCCAAGCCACCAACTGAACGATGTAAGTAAGAAGTGGTGTGAATGTTCTTCCAAGAGACATATATTTAGTCTTCTACATTATAATTTTGTTTTGTTCCAGGTGCTAGCCCAGCAACATTTGAAACACCAGTTGCCAATAGGCTAGATGACTCAGAACCGTCGCGGGAAGAAACTTCAGACCAGTCAAAGAAGGAAAATGATGGTGACAGTTCTGTATCAAAACAAGGTAACTCTTAATTAATTTTTTTAAAAAGCAAATAAACATTATTACTGCACTATTAGCACTTAGACAAGTTTGATAAATCTTTTATCTCAATTTTACAGATTGCACTAGACGATTGGATGCATTCCTCAGTGCTCACACAAGTGAAGATAATGAGAGCTTCCAAGAAATTATAAAAGAAGCTGATATAAGACATAGACATAGGGTATTTAAGAGTTTTTATCTTTTCTGTAATGAAATAATAGTGTATGTTAAGGTTTTGAGAAAATTTTCATTATTGTAATGTCTTTTACAGTATGGTTGGCTTTACCAAGACGAAGAAGCTTCAGCAAATAAAGTCAAAGCCCAGTTGGCCCTACCATCCATTGAAAAACAAGCAGAAATTGCAGACCGTCCATTTAATATTGATACATGGAAATTTACAAATAAAAACTACATTATGTATGTCCCAGAAGGTAAGTAAAAAAAAAAAACATCTAAGAGAACCTTTTTGTTTGCTATCCAAACTTTAAAACATAAATAAAAGATTGTTCAAAATTTTCCGGTCAGCCTGTGCTGTAATGTTTATATGTTTTTTTAAAATGTTTTTTCTTTATTGCTTTTACAGGTGCGCCATTGTCAGAGGAAGATAAAATTGCACTAGCTAACAAGCGCCAAGAAATTGTTCATAATAACACAAGGCTTAAGAAGAACCCATTTGATGAGCGTCAAAATAAGGAAGTAATCAAAGGACTAGCAGTGACTCAAGCAAGATCTCACGATGGAAAAATTGGTGTTGATGGAAAAGAATTAACAACGGAGACTCCAAAAGTTAATGGATTCAGCTATGTGACAATGGATTCACCCATGCCTGGTGTGTAATAATCACTATAGCTAATTAATTCTAGGTGTGTCATATAAAATGTTAATGTAAAGTATTTTTATTTTTGTTATTTTTATTGACAATTTCAGGTGTAATGGATTCCCCTTTGATGACATGGGGTGAAATTGAGGGTACACCATTTAGGCTGGATGGAGGTGATACACCACTTCGCCCAAGTCAAGGCCCCTCTTTCAAAATGAATGCTCCCCCGAAACGTGAGAAGATTGCTTTGGCTCTTGCTGAAAAAGCAGGAGAGAGGCACAGAGAACGAAAACTCAAAGCTCTAGAAGCAGCTCGTAGACTTGCATCGTAAGTATTTGTTGATTATTTCATTTGATTCATTACAGTTATTTTCCTAATTTTCAACATTGTTTTTACTTTTACTTTTAGTCCGTCTCCGAGACCTGGCACAGGCTCTTTGGAAAGATTGAGTTCTATGTCACCAGCAGCTCAAAGATTAGCAACACATAAGTTGCGACCTGGAGATTCTGCACTGAGAGCATCTTACACTCCATCGCCTCAAAGACATCTTGGTGGTGTCACACCTGGACCATCAACTCCTCTGCTGACTCCCTCAACAACACCTTTGAGGCATACCCCAACAAGACGGGTGAAGCCTCCAACTCCCAAAATAACTTCTCATCTGACTGATAACTTATTAAAATTACCTCACAGGGCAAGAGCATCAGATTTCTTTTAGAATTTTTACTATTCATTATTATAAATTTTTGGGTGAATGGCTCTGTTAACACATGTACATGTAGTAAGGGCTTAAAAATCAACCTCTTAAATGGAAAGTGTTAAAGTTTGGGTAACTATAGAAACTGTTCCAGATATTATGCTATGCATAATGTTTGTAATGGATGTTTCTGCTCATGGAAGAAAGTCTTATTTCCACCACTAGTTTGTGAGTATCTGTATATATTTAATTTACTAAAGTGTATGTTTTGTGATATATAATTGTTGATTATATTTATATGGAAACAAAAGAACAACAAAGGCTTATTGATTTGTCCAAATATCTGAGATGAGAAAGAAAATAAGTAATGAAAAAAGATGCATAGCTTAAAAATTAGGGAAGAGGAGCAGAACAGGAAGATGATTGATCAGGTCAAAACCTGATGAAAACATCATAGAATGTGATTAGCTAAAGTAGAGGAATTAATGAGTTTGCTGTTGGATAGTGTTGTTGGTGTTTCATTTGTGTTGCAAACTCAGCACTCTTAATAGTAGGTCAGGAAATGTGTGTCATGAGTTCTGTCTGAGTCAGTGTTGACAGCTATTCAAAAGCTAGAATCTTTCAAAAAAGAACGTTTGGGGAGGAATGAGAACAAGAAATTTTACTTGAGATTGGAGCATTTTTATTCTCCTTTTGACAAGGCTTTACTTTGCCAAGTCAAATAAGCAGCCTTCTTCTCTCTCTTTGAAGTTCAGCACAGACAGGTACTGGAGGTACAGGGGGAATGTTTTGGGGGGGCCCTCATTGCTTTTAGACCTTGAGACAAATTTACAATTTCAGTTCATGATTATGCGCATATCGTAAACATTCTAGCATAGCGAGTTAATGGTAATTATAGCAAGTGGCAACAAAACTGTACAAATTTTCCTACCTACGTTACATCTAAAGAATCACAAATTTTAGTTTAATCAAATATTCTCGGAGTACTAATGCGCGCAAGAGTAATGAGACAATTAGCTAAATTCACATTTGCTAAATAAATTAAAAATTACTACTAATTTTCATTCATAATTTAAATACCAATCATACATCCATTCACACAAATGAAAAAATTTATAATTTAAATGGACTATCAAAAACTATTTTTAGACACAAATTTGTAGGAATCAATCCCTAATGACTAGTGAGATGAAATTTAGAATTTAGTTGATAAATTTTCTAGATTGATTGCCAAAACTTTTAAAATAAGATATGCTCAAAAAATTTGGATCAGAGTAATGACGAAAAATTAAGAGCTGGTGGAAACTATTAATTCAGCCGAACACAATTAAGACAGGGTCAGGCCTCCATTTAGAATCTTCCAAAGGACCAAGACTAGAATTTTGATTGGCTTGCCCAAAGTTCAAATAATTCATTAAATCTACACAATTTATAAGACCCCTTTCAAAATTTATGAAACCCGAGCCTAGTCTAGGAGACATTAATTGCATACAAATGCTGCTACTTTCAAAATTAGTGCCAAAAAGAATCAATTTAGGAAACGAAATACATGCAGCAGATGTCATTAAATTTTGCCCAGAAACCGAAAAAGAAATGAAAAATAATTTTGAGTTCCCGCCAACTCTTTGACCCAAAAAACTAATTTTGCAATCGTTGAAATTTGACTTGCCGAGGCACCGTAACCGCTTGTCCTTGTACAGGGCCGGTTGGTCCGCCGGTCGGGTCGGTGATGCACGCTTCATGTTGAGCTTTCATGAGGCTGGTGCGATGTCAGTCTGGCTGGTCCAAACGGCGACAGCGCTTAGTATCCGCAGCCGCAAGAGCAGCCACGGCGACCGGTGTGCACGGGGGCGGCGCGGGGAGCGGGGGCGGCGGCGGAGGAGGAGTAGATGCCGTAGCCGGAGGGGGCGGCGGCGGCGTAGCTGCCGTAGCTGGAGCCGGACTCAGAGTCCTCGCAGTTGGGGGCGGCAGCGTCGGCGGCGGCGGCATCGGCGGCGGCCTCAGCCTGAGCCTCGGAGGAGTAGTAGTCAGCCTGGTTGCTGCCACGACCGCGCTCCAGGGAGGCGAGGGCGTCACAGGGGCCGTAGGCGGGGCCGGCGGGGGCAGCGGGGGCGGCGGGCACGGAGTACTCGACGGTCTGGACAACCTGGGGGCTGGGCTGGTACTGGCCGGGAACGAACTTGCAGTCACCGCCGACGGGAGCGAAGCCGAGGTCGCGGTATGAGGGCATGGAGGCGCCGTAGCTGCTCTCCTCGACCTCGCCGCAGGAAGCCTGCTGGGCGGCCAGGAGGGAAGCCTCGGCCTCATCCTCGCAGGAGCGGCCGAAGCCGGAGGGAGCCTTCAGCTCGACGATCTGGTTGCGGACGGCGTACAGGCTGCTCTCGGGGACGACCTTCTTCTTGATGACGACGCGGCCGTCCTTGGGGGTCTGCATGTGACCGAAAGCGAGGTTCTCCTCCTGGATGTTCTGCATTTAAAAAAAATCAAAAAATAATAATTAAATAACATTGCATGGATCCATTAGTTAATAGAAAGAAACTTTAGGAGGAGTGGAGTCCCAATGCAGTCAACGCAGAGGCGACCGCGAGCGGGATTGCTGCTCGACTCACCTTCTGGGCCTTGGTGGCCATGTCGTAGGCGAGGGCCAGAGAGACGGCATCAGCGGCGACGGGGCTGGAGGGAGCGACCTGCACCTCCTCGATGAGCTCCTCGGCGGGCACAGAGTTCTCGGCGGGGATCACGTAGGTCTTGACCTGGGAGGGAGCGGGGCCGCCCTCTTCGCAGGGGTTGACGGGGGCGTCACCACAGTCGTTACCACCGCCCAGGAACAGGCCGTTGGAGCCGTGGTAGTAGTAGTTGGGGGACTGGTGGGTGGGGCCGGAGTGGACCTTGCAAGCCACGCGGGGGATCTCAGGGGCGGTCACCTGTGACAGAGTCATGGCAAGGGTTAGTCACCGAACAAATCAACAAATCCCCACAAAGGGATCATTTGCACTCCACTCTAGGACCAGGCAGCCCAGCATATGGACCAGCAACTCACCAGACCACCGGCACAGGTGCAGATGTCCTGGGGCTTGAACTCGACGGGGGCGAACTTCTGGTAGACGACGCGCTGCATGCCGCCGGTGGGGACGCGGCCGGGCCTGCCGGGCCTGGGGACGGCAGCGGGGATGCACGAGGAGCAGACATCGGTGCCCTTGAGGCCGCAGGCGCAGCTGCGCTTGCTCAGCGGGTGAGCGCTGGCGAACTGTCGGACAGAACATGCCGGAGGAGGCCGTGAGCGTGGACGGGTGCTGCGGGTGTGACATGACGGCGGCGACTTGGCGTCGACGAACTGGTGTCGAACGGTGATCGACAGAGCCTTACCTGGAGCGCCACAAGGGCGGCGAGCGCCACGAACAAGAGGGCTTTGCAGTTCATGTTTGCTGCCGTCCCGGTGGAAGAGAGCGAAGTGTAAAGGGTGAGTCCGGCACGACGCTTTTATACCACCTGCCCCGAGTGAGCTGCTCCCCACCACCCACCCCCGGGCGGCCTGCCCGGCGCCGCCGCCGCCACCGCCGTGCGCTCCAGAGTCTCCGCGGCCCGGCCCCGGGCGCGCGCGAAAAATGTCGGACATGTTTTGGCAGAGCTGCAGCCGGCACGGCTCACAGTCGTGCGAGCGCTCCCGGTCCGGCGGGTGGACGTGACCTAGAGGATCCAGTTTTGCGTCCGCATATCTGAAAATCCACCGGTACAGGATATTCGCACTGTGGGGTATTGTGTACTTTTGCCGTTATAGACACTGTGGGATTGGCCCTCGCGGTCAGTGGGGTTGGGGTGAATTTCTACTGTTAGAGCAGTAGGACAAACGTGTTCGATGGCCGCAACAGTACGACCAATTGCCCCTCGTTTCTCGTTGGACCAGTAGGAGTTTCCTTCTGTCGGAATTTCAGAGTAGGAGGTCGCAGGGGTCGCTTTGGGCGCTTGTGACTGAGATGTAAGCGCAGAAAAACAAAAACCGGCACTGAGACACAGGTGCCAGCTTCAAATACCAGGTGGCTGATTAGCCCCGCGCAAATCTGTAGTTATGCTGTGCCGCACGCACTCGTGCGGGCGGGTTGCCTACTCGCTCCGGCCCGCACGGCGCCGTGGACTGGGGTGATAGGCAAGCCCGCCCGCACGAATGCGTGCGGTACAGCATAACTACAGATGTGCGCGGTGTTAATCAGCCACCTGGTATGTTGCGTCGGGTCTGTCTTTTTCGCACGGTTTTCTTTTCACATTGTCCGCAGAAGCGACGCTGTCATTTGCGCGCAGCGTGTGTAGTTAGGAAGTTGCGACGGAGAGTCGCGATCGGCAGTGATTCGTCAAATACATCTCTCCAAATCTTTGCAGGTCGGGCCGGGTCGGGGGCTGGTCTATTGATGTTCTTGACTTCGAGTCGATTCCGACCGACCAACTGATCCGCACATTCTAACCCGTTGAGTCCCACACGACATGACCAAAAGTACCAAGTGCGGTCATGATGGTACATGGTACGTTTGAGGACCCCCTCCCAAACCCCTCTCCTCCTCTCTTTTCCCAGGGGGACTCATCGTGTCAATAGGACTACAATACAAAAGTTTGTGAATCACGACCTGTGGAGCCCAGGGAGCCCACAGCTGCCCGGGCCCAGCACCCCGCCTGGCAGGACCCGGAGTCCCCCCGCCGGGCCCGGGCGCATCCTGCGAGGTCGCGGCGGACAGTCCCGCCCGGCGCGGCTGTGCGGCGCGCGGCCTACCCCGCGCTTCACAGGCGCCTTGCTGCGGTCGTCTGGCCAGGATGCCGGTACGGGTGTGGCTACAAGGGGAAAGTAGGGGGGGGGGGAGAGACTTTCGGGCTCAACAGAGGGCGCGGGCGGCTCCAGGAGGCTGGAGGAGAGTAAGGGAGGGGTAGGGGGGCGGAGGCCTCACGGCCTGCTCTGCACCGGCCGTGCCCGAGTCCCGCGTGTTCCGTCTGGTTTCTTTGCTGACGCCGCGGCCTACACCTGTGCGAGCGCGCGCGCCTACACACCGCCCCACGAGAGGCCCGCGCGCCGCCCGCGCCCGTCGCGGGGGCCGCGGCTCATCACAACTGGAGCGCGCTGCGGGCGGGAAATGTGGGTCGGCGCGGCGCAGCGGCCGCACGCGTCTGACGGTGCAGAGGTGTCCGCTTAACGGGGGGAAGGCCAGCCGCAGCGGCGCGACCTATTGGGACCCCCTTGGTGATCGGGTACCTGCCTCCCTGACCTCGGCTCGGGCGCAAGCGTCCTCGCCGATCGCCCTCCTCGGCCTCTGTGCGGCCCAGATACACGAAGCGGCCGACGCCCACGAGACTGAAGCATTAGAAACGGACCGCTTCTGTGGCCGCGCGTGGAGGGAAATCAATCCACTCGGCCGACGGAAACCTCGCGCCGGCTGCAGAAAAACTGGGCCGTGGGCCGTGTGTCTACTCGCCCTGCGAAGCTATCAGGCGCGCGGGCAGCGAGTCGCACGGGCAGAAAAAGTCTTACATGGCGAGTTGTTGGCGGCGGGCGGGCAGGCTGCGCGGGGGTCCCGGGCACGCGCCAGGCCCGGACGCGACGCCGGCGTACGCACGACGTCAGCACAACGGACAAGTACCAACTGAGGGGACGTCCGTCCGGCCGGGAGCATCCACCCGCAGCAGGGGAGGCCGGGAGGCCCGCACCACCTCCCACCCGGGAGCGGGGGCCCGGGGGGGCCCATACGGAGCGCCGCACACCTTGTTGTTGGCTCGGAGGAGTAAACAAAACACGGGTTCAACCGAGACCGCGGGGGATAGTTTTTAGTCGTGACCGTGCGAGGGAAAAGTGAAAGCTGGTAAATGACAGAAACGAAAAATTTACTTTATTTCAAAGAAAGTCCAGAGGCGAGCTTCCGGATAGAAAGTACCATTTGGCTGATTCGTTCCCCCGCTCGCGTAGGTGGACGCGTGCGAGCGTGGGGGTTGCCACCTCGCTCGGTCCTCCCTCCGGAAAGGACGACATTTTTTTTCTCGGGTTCGTTCGGTATAGCGGGAGCTCGGCTCCCGTGAGACTCGGGGTACATAGGCCATCCCGCAATACACGAATGCACTGCAGGCAGGATGTTGCCTACCCATCAGGCGCTATGAGAGCTTGCAGACGATGAACTTGGCGTGCGTCACGGTGAATGACGGGCGCACTTTCTGGATGACGAGAGGCGATAGGTACATCCGTGCTGTCTGTTCATTTTTACTTCGGAAGAAGTCGGGCGGGGCAGTTTTATTGCAGGCCACATCAGCTCTCTGTCTCACCCTCCATCGGACTTCTTCCGAAACGAACATGAACAGACGAGACAGTCTGACAGTCGGTCTGACAATAATGTACGTTAATAGGGGGAAACAACGAACAACCACGACGGCACCGAAAGGTAGTAAACATGTTAACAAATAACAGAAAAAAGAAAAGAAAATTGTTACACTGGCTTCATTCGCTGGTCGGTGTCGGTGTGTGGGATTGCCTGCTGTTGCGGGTATTGTCGGGTGTTATCAACGCTTCATTAAATATACTCTACCTCACGACTATGGTAGTGGCCCGGGTAGTGGCGTGGATCAACGCAACTAATTCATTCATTTTCACGACAGGCGACGGATGCACGGCAGCATGGTGCATGCATATGGTGCATTTTGAAGTGAAAAACCAGATGCTTCTCGATGTTTTCTGTAATTCGTTCATTGCCGGCCCATTTTTGGTGCCTATGATTTGACATGGTAGCGTGACCACTGCGTGCTCACGACGCCCTGAACGTGTTATCACCTGCCAACACGTTCAGAGCTTCAGAGCGGCTTATTTTTTGGTGCCTTTGATTTAACCTGGGAGCGTGTACACATATAGAGGTCAAGCCGCACTGAAAGTGGCAATTCATTGGAGCTTACAAAGATTGTACAAGGTTAGGTTACTTTTTGCAACAGACGGGACGGCGGATCCATCACAAGCCCATCAACTCGTTTCAATCTCACGCCGCTCCCGGCCACGCCCCACCATGCCCAGGCGCGGTATAAGGGGGGG